GCCGGGACAGCTAGTACTATGTAAAATTAAAAATTTACCACGGCATCTTACGTGATCATCTCATCTTTTCATGATCATGGCGGTTGAAACTACTGCAATATCGGTAAATAAATAAAAAAATAAATAAAACTTGGTACATACGCAGACGAGTTTCTCCATAATAGTATCTCATGTGTGATATCACGCGTATCACATGATAAAGTGATATCCGTATTACTGTTCATGTATACAAGCGACAGTTACCACTTACCATCAGGTGGTCAACATCTTGTATGCCAATCTAAGAAGATTTACAGTTAAATATTTAAGTACAATAAAAGAAATTTCTCTTTGTAGAAATTTATTAACCTCCAAAAGTCAATCTTATATTGTAACTTTACAACTTACACAACCGTAGAACAAACATAATTCAAAGACAAGTAGACGCTTCGTGTCTTAAAAAATAAAAGTTGAACATAGACAATAGTTGGCCATTGGCGGTAAAAAAGATATGGCATATATAATGACTTATAATTATTGCACTAAAATTGTACAACAATATATTTATTCAACTAAAATTCGTGTTTTATTCGAGTATTCACCTATTTCTATTTATCTCATTAAACCACCAATGGGAAAGACTAAATTAAAATAAAACAATATGAAATTATAGGAATATATGCAATTCAGTGTCATCTTTGACATTAAGTAGATAGTAAATGTGTTATGTGGTATTAATTCGAATTGCAGAACAATAACAGCAAACATGTCAGTTTTTGGCGGGTAAATATTTTTTTAAAAGCATAGGACCTAATCATATACAGCCATATTGCGTTAGAAATCTGTTGAAGACTTCCAAATTAGTACCGACTCTATTCTCATTCAGCTATTTTTTTTAACAAATTCGTATAGTCCGCTGTTATTGTCTAAATAACTCCCAATAGATAAATAATTGACCCAACACTCATAAAACTAATATACAAAATATACAGATACAATCTTCAGAATAATATTTCTCCTAAAAGAAATATGTACAAAATACTTTTTTTTTATTATTTATATAATGGCATACACATGTATGCCATTAAATCATAAAAAAAAGTATTTATTAAGTATTATAAAAAAAAATGTTAGAAACTTATTAGGAAATAAATAATATATATTTCTAAATAGGGGTCTTAAATATCATATTCTTTTAAATTAGTAATTAAAAGGGATGTACTTTAAGGATTGTCCAGGCATACTCATGAAAGTTATGTGCCAGTATAAAGAAATGTTAGTGATTTTTGTCCCAAATATATATTGATAAACACGATCACTAAAACAATTCTTATACAAGTTATTCTCCCTAATTAAATTCAAAAATTAATCTGTATTTCTCTGATAATGTACACGGTGATTTAAAAAAAAATATTTTGTAATCATGTACAAGTACATTATGTTTAATTTCGCTACAAGAGCTTTAAAAATTGTAGCAGAATGTAAGAAAATAATATAAATCAAAGTAGTGTAAGATATTTTTTTTTATAGCCAAAAGAAACAATCTCACATATGTGTTTAAAAAAATGTGAAATTGTGACCAAAATATAAATAGATTATGAATGAAATAATAATGACAATTATTAAATATTTTAGATGAATAAATAAATAATAATTATAATAGAATAAAAGTACGGAAAATAATGGAATGAATATTAATATTAATAAGAACAATTCACACAGCGCCATCTAGTCCCAAGCTGAGTAGAACATGTGTTGTGGGTACTAGACAACTGATATAAATATTTATTATACATTTTTTGTAAGTACATACATAATATACACAATAAACACCAACATTACAATTATACTTATAAATAGAAATGCTTGCATTGTGCGAGGAATCGAACCCGCGATCATAGAACGTAAGGCGATGAGCTAAGCCACTAGACCACCGAGGCCGTCGAATATAACAATAACAACATTATGTTTGGAACAGAACATTGTTAACTCTTTCTTAAAAATTTAAAATGCACGTTAAACAGTTAGCAATAAAGTAGGTTTAGTAATGATTCGTCAATCCACAGATTAGCGGCTACTTCTTTGCTATCAAATTTAAAAATCGACTTGTGTTAGCACCCCTTACCCCGTTGGTTACACCATGTCACACTTCGCCAACCCCTATTTCTATCAATTTGTGACACAATGTCACGCTTTACCAACCCCTATCTCTCTCAATTTGTGACATAGCACAATGTCACATCTTGCTAACCCCTATCTCTCTCAATTTGTGACAGCAAAATGTCACAATTTGCCAACCCCTATATCTCTCAATTTGTGACATAGCACAATGTCACACTTTGCCAACCCCATCTCTCAATTTGTGACAGAACAATGTCACACTTCGCCAACTCCTCTCTCAATGTGTGACATAGTCTATTGATGGCCTATAACGTAATGATTACTTACTCAGTGAACTACAATAGACAAATAAAAATGCAAAAAAATACAAGAAAATAGTGGAGATAAATTATACGCCTAATATCAGATGGCTTTTAGTCAACAAATATAAATTTTGGAAATTCGACCCTGAAATATACAGCAATAAAGTCTATTTTCCAAAAACATGTAATGTATTTTATTAAGTTTGAGTGGAAATTCATCTCTAAAATGTTAGCATTAAAGTAGATTTTCCAAAACTTGTAATTTATTTTAATAAACCTGCGAAATTGTAAAATATACTTAACAAAATATAATTATTATTCGATAAATTAATAAAAAAAAAAAAATACTATGTATATGGAAGCACGATTTTGAGCACATGACAATAAATAATAATACATAATACATAGATAATATTAAACATATTAAAAATATACATAATGATGTGCTTAGCACTTTAATTTTTTTTAATAGAATAGGATACAAACTCGCTTGCGGCTCACCTGATGGTAAGTGATTACCGCAGCCGATTAACACCCGCAACAACAGCGGAATGGCAAGTGCGTTGCTGGTCTTTAAGAAGGAATAAGCTCTTGAAGGTTTCAATATCGTATCGGTTCGGTAATACCATTGCTGGAAGTGATTCCACAATGTGGTTGTGCGTGGTAAAAAGATTATAGAAAAACGCACTGTGGAGGACCGCCATTCATCCAGATCAGGATGGTATTTCAGTTTCTGGTGATGATGAAAGTGATGATGGTGAAAGTGGGACAAATAGAACACAACAAGTAGTAAATAAATTGAGAGTAGCGTAAATTAAAATAATTTATGTGTGTATTGTCACATTTTCTCAAATTGTGACAATAGCTCGAATAAATAATAAATACTCTGGGCAATTAAGACAGCGCCATCTAGTCCCACGGTAAGCAGAGCTTGTGTTATAGGTACTAGACAACTGATACAAATATTTAAATAGTTTTTGTTTTTAAATACACACATAATATATATAGAATACAACCAGACTGAAAAATAATGATACTCATGAATACAAATGTTTGCACCGTTCGAGGAATCGAACCCGCGACCATTAGAAGTAAAGCGGTGTGCTTACCCGCTAGACCACCAAGGCCGTGGAAACAAGAGACAAAGTATTTCAATATCCAAAATAGATTTATTACACTTTGACGTTTCTTTGAATAAAATTGAAGCTATTATTATATTGAGTACAGCTGATTACACAATAAAATGTTTCCAACAAGGATGATACTTAAGTTCCTTAAGTTTCTTGTCAGAAATCACTCTGAACTGACTGACGTAGATTTAACATATCATAAAAGTCTGTAACAGACCTACATGAATGAAGATATTTTGATTTTAATTTTGAATCCAATAAAGGAACATATGAAAATTATATTACAAGATTTTTGAGCCCTATTTTATGGAATTTAAATACTTACTCTATATCTATGAATAAAAGATTTATTTTTTAATGTAAACATTTTTAACTATTTCTTAACGTGAAATCAACTCTTATCATGCTTGTAACAGTAAAATTGGCACTTATTTTTTATAAATTTTCGAAAATATATTTCATTTATGGTATTTAAAATACTACATAGATGTAATAGACCGAACTATCTCATATATTATCTGTATTTATAAAATCTATATCAAACATACTGTACCGCATAAGACAGAACGAGATAGCATGTCGGCCGTCCCGTTCTTTCCCATGAATGCATGAAATGTCGTTGTAAATGATTTTATTCTTTTGTTACAAGGCCTGTTAACGAATTTAAAAGACAAAGAACCCAATATAAAGTGAATTTATTTTGTTATTTTCTCGTATACTGGTCACTATATTCTCCCTAATATAAACCGTATTTTTTAATTAGGTAATCTAGACTGATTTGAAAAGAGTAAATGCTCATTTTCTTGTCAGTTGACATACAATTACTTTGAAATACATTAACAATTGACGGTAGATTTGTATAACATATATACGTTTATTATATGTAAGTTATAGATCTATATGAATACAGATATTCAATTGAACAATAGGAAAATAATAATATAGCGGCTTATGAACGTCAAGTTTTTTGTAATTAATATATGTCCTGCAAGTATAAATGATTTTTTAATTTGAATTTGATGTGTTTATTCTGTTGAAAATTGTCCATTGTTTTTCTCAAAAACCGCATAGGTAGGTTCACTTTATTGAAATTTATTTTTGTCTGTTTGTGTCTGTATAACACGAAAACTGGACGGATTTGAATGTAACTTGGTATAACTACATCATATAAAGAAATATTATTTAAGATGAGAATATTATTTTTTATATGCGTGTTACATGTTACTATATATACATATATACAGTTTAAATATATATATATTATATGCTACCAAATATATACATATCTTTATATAAGAAAACATTTAGTTCAGATATAGTACATCAGTATTGAAATACTATTCCAGTTGAGGTAACGCATTGCGAAATATTACACTTCAAGAATATAAAAAATTTTCGCGCCATTTTTCAAACAGAAAATATTGATGGCGCGAAAAAGTTTAACGTCCAAAATTCGCAATGCGACCGAGCTTTATAACGTTGCGTATAATTGTCATAGTTTAAAATTAGAACAGTGTTATTAAACAATAGTTTAATCATACTGCATATGTCTAAAACCAATGACATTTAAAAAGTATAAGACCATAAAAAAATAAACTTCTTATAATAACAACGAAAATTTGCCAAAGAAAAAAAGAAAAAGAACGTAAATAATCCTTTTTTAAAATATTACTATTAGTGAAATTTTGAATTAAGAATACTTATTTTGTTTTCATAAAATTATTTCTTTCGTGAACCGCACTTTATTCCAACAACACTGTTCTATTTTCAAATCGTCAATAAAAAAGTTCATATCAAAAACTAAGGCTACGGAATGTCCTACGTTCTGCCATCTTTGTTCTGACTCTTTTGTTGTGCCCTAATAAATTCTGGATAGTCTATGTAACCATCTTTGTTGTGATCATCCATATTCAATATGGGATCTATTAGGTTTATTAGTTCGTCGTCGCCGAATATCTTCTCTCCGACTGGGGGGTTGGGGGCTTGGGGGGCTTGCTTGTGGCCTTGCTCTGTATACCGTTCCCATGGTAACCGCACATATAGGGAAAGACAAACACACATATGAATGATATACCAGCTTAAATTAATTATTGACATATTTCATATTTAGAAAAACAAAAATATATTTAAAACTTTAGTCATGTCAAATATAGTCAAATGTACTCGTTAATAATGTAAGTGAAGAATTAATCAAAATCAGTACAGTATTTTGTAAGTTTATGCATTACAAACAAATTACCAAATCTTTACACTTTATGAAGTTAGTTTAAAGAAAAAAATTTAATATTTAATACAAAGTATTAAAATAAATCATATTCAAAATATGTCAATAATTAATTAATAATTTATAATAATGCAATCTGTCATTACAATATGATTTATAGAAAATAACACACGGAAATCTTTAAATAACGAAAAATATATTAATTATACACTTATCATTTCAAGGAAATTGTCTTCTTATATTGCTTACATACTGTTTAAAAAAATACCTTAGCCTGCTTATATAAAAAAAAAAAGTATAATGACAGAAGACATCAAACAAAAGCATTTCCCGCCAAAAGTTGTCAATACTTTTGTTCATAGACACATGTACATAATAAAAAAAACAAAACAATATTTACGAAGCATAACACAAACCCTGCATAAATGTATAACAATTGTAAACACTAGCGTAGAACATTAGAGTAATCCGAAAAAAAAACTGCCCAGTCATAAATTCTAAAATGAAACATACAAAATTATAACATATAAAATTCTCGCGTCACAATGTTAGTTACCATACTCCTCCCAAACGGCTTGATCGATTTTTATGAAATTTTATGCATATTCATATATATTATTTATGCATATTCAGTAGGTCTGAGAATCGGCTACTATCTATTTTTCATACCCCTAAGTGGTATTCGTATCGACATAATATTTTATTTTAATTTTATTATTATTTAGGATTGAAAAATATATAAATATATGTAACCCCTATTATTTAATAGCGATTTTAATGTATATAGCAAAACAAAGTTTGCCGAGACAGCTAGTTTATATATAATTATAGAAGAAATTAAACTCACCGTGCCAATGTATGAGTGATTTGATCAGCTCGCACCCGTCCAGTTTGTTGTTGTTGTCGGCGTCGTGCATCTTGAAGTAGTGGAACTGGAGCTCCTGTTCTGACATCTTAGATGTGTCTATAGGCACGTCCATGTGCTCCTGAATATGTCTGTGGAATTATTAGATGAGATATAATTTTTTTATAGAGGACTAGCAATACCCACAGTTCAATCCGCATGAAATTTATAACCTATATGTTATTCTGAAGTATAAGCTATATTACTGTAAAGTTTCATCGATATCCATTCAGTAGTTTTTGCGTGAAAGAGTAACAAACATCCATCCATACTCACAAAATTTCGCTTTTCTAATATTAATAAGATATATAAAATGTATTACAATATTCAACGCTCATAAAAAACCAAAATTAGTTACAGTAACAGTATCAAAAAGAGTAAATACCCAAGAGAAAGAAATGACAGTCCGTGTAACCGCTCATAATTATAGTCATATGTATGAGTTCAAGCCCATAATATGTATGAGTACAAGCCCATAATATGTATGAGTTCAAGGCCATAATATGTGTGAGTACAAGCCCATAATATGTATCAGTTCAAGGCCATAATATGTATGAGTTCAAGCCCATAATATGTATGAGTTCAAGGCCATAATATGTGTGAGTACAAGCCCATAATATGTATCAGTTCAAGGCCATAATATGTATGAGTTCAAGCCCATAATATGTATGAGTTCAAGGCCATAATATGTGTGAGTACAAGCCCATAATATGTATCAGTTCAAGGCCATAATATGTATGAGTTCAAGCCCATAATATGTATGAGTTCAAGCCTATAATATGTATAAGTACAAGCCCATAGGCACTATTATCACTAACCCTTCAATCACCATTAGATTTTTTACAGAATTAGTATTTCTGAACGATACAGTAATCATTATTGAAAATAATAGATTATGCTTGTAGAGACGTTTATTATAGCAGAGCGCAGTGACAGAAGTGTATAAAACAAAAAGTATATACAGAACGTCATATTTTGAATATGGATAAAATAATATATAAAAACTGCCAGTGTTTCTCATTGTAGGTCTAACAGATAAGCGCTTATTGACACAGGGGACAAACGAGCATGCGGCTCACCTGATGGTAAGTGATTACCGCCGCCCATGAGCACGCAACACCAGTAGAATTGCAAGTACGTTGTCGGCCTTTTAAAAACGAATAAGCTCTTTTCTTGAAGGTTTCAATATCGTATCAGTTCGGAAATACTATTGCTGGAAGGTGATTCCACAATGTGGTTGTGCGAGGCAAAAAGTTTCTATAAAACCGCACTGTGGAGGACCGCCATTCATCCAGATGATCAGGATGGTATTTTAGTTTCTGGCGGGTTGGTATGGTGGTCAAATTTAGCAGCTTGTATTAATCCGAACTACTCTTCAGAACACTCTTCACAGTAGATCATGCAGTCGTATATGCGTAACGGTTACCACTTACCATCAGATGGGCCGTATGCTTGTTTTTATTTAGTGATATAAGAATAAAACAAACTTACTCTCGTTCTTGAGCAATGTTCGCCGTATTCAACAGTTGAGGATCTGCGAAAGAGATAGAAAGATAAATAAATATGATAGAAATTCTATTCTATTCTATTAAACCAATAGACACATTGCTAGCAATGTACCACGACAGATTGACTTCCACACAGTTTCTCGTATTATTTTATTTATTTATTAATTTAATTCAGGCTACATGGCCCATTTTATAAATACCTTATAGACTAACATACATGAGAAATAATAATAAAATATGTAAATAAAATTGTCTCTATGGTCACGGCACTGTCGACGGCAATCTGCCACGGTAGCGCCGATAGACCACCCCCCTCGGCTAGTAGTCCTCCTTCATGAAGGTGGGCAGCATGTTGGTGGGGACCAGGGCCACGAACGCTTTGAAGCTCGCGTTGTGGCTCGATTCCAACTGCATCACCCTCAGTTATTATTATAACTGATTGACATTATTATAACTGACTACCTATCACCCAAGACTTTCGTACAGAATGAAACATTTATTTATTAAAATAAATAAGCACATGAATAACAATCAGTATGACAAAAAAATATATTACTTTATTTATTTGTTAGTTTTTTATATAAATTCTTTATTGCACCAAACATCTAATACAAGAATTACACTTTTAGTATATGTGGGAAAGAGAAGGATTATGTCGTCTCTATCGCACACTACTGGCGTCATGCGGGCGTTAAGCTGTAAACAGAATACGAGCGGAGTTTCTTGTCAGTTGTTGTCATCTCGAAATCATTCCGAACTGACGATCGATGTATATATCAAATATCATAAGAGTGTAATAGACCTGCATGAATAAAGATATTTTGAATTTGAATTAGGAACAGCATGTTGGGACAGTTGTGTCTCATAGTCGATAATTAAGAAGTCAAACAGTACAATACTGACAAGAGATCTTAAGGCACAGAAAATATATACATAGAGTTACCTCCATGATGAGCATGTCCATGCTGTTGTACAGGTACTTGTTGTACAGGCACTTGTTGTACGGGCACCTGTTGTTGTGGCGGCGGCTGGTACTGTTGTGGTGGGGGCTGGTACTGTTGTTGTTGGTATTGTTGTTGTTGTTGTGGTGGCTGTTGTAATTCAGAATTATTAATTACAGTTATATAATGATAGTTGTGCAAATATATAAACTAAATAATATTGGCGGGGCTAGTACTGTTGTTGTTATTGGAACAGATTGTACTGTTGGAACTCAGAATTATTAATTAATTAATTATTTAGTGGGGGGAGGGATGTTGTTAGTAATGGGAACTAGTAATCCCCATTGCTAGCAATGTACCTGGAAACCACCGTAATAAATTCCTAGTGAATTTTTCACAATGTCCTGAGCTCATGTTCATCTTATCATCCTCTACTAATGGCCCGCCAGCGTAAACCGTAACGCAGGAGCTTGCTGCATGTGGTCGTGGCTGATGCACCATTTCATTATCAAACAAAAATAAATATATTTATAAGTTATTTAGTTGTGGCCCTGGTGATCAACCACTTTACTTCCCAATACTTCCATGATCGTGGGTTTGATTCCTTGCAAGATGTCATCATTGGTATTTATGAATATGATTATTTGTATCTGTCTGGGTGTTTTCTATGTATGTTATAAATGTGTCTAAGTATTTATATAAGTTGTCTAGTACCCATAACTTAGCTTGGGTCTAGATGGCACTGCGTAAATTGTCCTGAGATATTATTATTATTAATGGGAACACATGAGGCATATCCCTACAGGCCTGATGATAGAAACAGTATAAATACTTACTGGTTGGTGCTGCGGTGGTGGCGGAGGAGGTGGCTGTTGATAATTCTGTAACAAAAGAATAAAACACATTACCATTCCAGTTATATAAATGAATAAAAGAATATAGACACAGCTGAGTTTTAAATAAAACATATTTATCTCTCTCATTTCAACTACTAGTGCTCATCTCATTGCCTTCCCTTTATCACTTTATTTGTAGTCGGTGCAGTATGTCATTCTCTTCCACTGCTCTCTACCGGTCGTCATATCTGAACATACTCTTCTTTTATTCATATCATCTTTCACACAATCCATCCATCTTTTCTTAGGGCGTCCCCTCCCTTTACATCCATCCATATTCATATTATACACTTTCCATAAGACATGATCCTCATTCCTCCACATAACACCAGCTCAATCTGTTACCTCGCAACTTGTCTATAACCGGCGCAACTTTCAAACTTCCTCGTATATACACATTCCTTATTCTATCATTCCTGGTAACCCCACACATCCATCTCAACATTCGCATTTCTGCCACATGGACACACCTTTCATCCATCCCCTTTACAGCCATTCAGATCCATACAAAATGGCAGGTCTTATGATAGATTTATAAACTTTATCCTTTAGTTTCAAGAGCATTCGGGGGTTGCATATTGTTCCCGAGAACTGTCGCCATTTTATCCATCCTGCACTGATTCTGTGTCTTTCAACTACTAGTACATGGTGTTAAAACCCATTTTAGTACATTAATAATGTGTAAACATGAAATGTTTATAAGTTACAAATTATTAGAAGTAGAAATAGTGGTCTAATATACTGTCTTGTCTAGTTTGTGAGTGAGTTTGAATCTATACTCACAACCATTTTTTAAAACATGATAGTGGCAAACAATACTATAGACCATCTGATGGTAAATAGTTACCATGAATGCCTATATTGGGCAGAGCATTGCCAGTGGATAATATAAATTAAATTAAACTTGGATTCAACTGCAATCGTTTTATTATTTTATAAGAGAAATTATTCTTAGTAAATATACTTTTAGACAAATTTAAGTTAAGGTAAATTAATTATATACAAATAACTTTAATTTCTTAATAAATATACTCTTAGATAAACTAAAATTAGGGTGAATTATAATTTTTCATTCATTATAATTTTTTTTCTTTTACATATTGCTTTTTCAATTTGCCATGTAGGCAGGCAAAAGTATCTACATTATAAAGCCAGTTCATACTTGAATTTTCTTATTTATTTATATTATAACACTTTCAAGTCTACTGATTCGTATTTCCCTTTCATATTAATATTATTTAACTTACCTGATAATTCTGCGGTGGTACACCTGGCGCTACTTTCTGCTGGTACTGCTGTGATATCGTGCACTGCAGTATAGCAGCGAAAAATAATACGCGTAGCATTTTTAATCTGTAAAAAAATAATAAATCTATATTTTTTAATTAGTAACTTTTTAAGCTAAAACAGCGTTAAAAAGTAATTAGAGAATGTTGAATACTTGTTCTATGAAGTACGATTTATTGCTAAGTTTTAGAAGCGTGAAAGAACTGTTTAAACTTTAATTTCACCTGTTTATGTAGACACGCTACGTGGACATATGCGATAATGGCTTATCGAATCGATGTATTGATAAAACAAACGCAGCAATAATTGTTTTGCAAACGTTTTCAAAAGTATTGGGAAATTAGAAAATTAAACACGTCAGACGATTTTTGACTTTGACGGATTGCGTTTCGTTACATTACAGGAATGACACAAATGACATGACGTGCCACGTACGGAAAGCAGGAAATAAAAAAAAACAGTTAGAAAAAAGTAATATATTATTATTTTATATCAACTACTAATGAATTCAGTTACTAATTTATTAATATATAGATTAATTCCGTTTTTCTTCTATCGTTGACTTCTTAAAACAGAGAAACATAATTTTCGTAAACAAAACGCAATTGGAAACGTTCATGAACCTGTATTTTTACTAATGATTTATATTTATCCACTTCCTAAAATTACTGAATATTAAAAAAGATATATTTAATATTTATTATATTAATTCTAGCCTAAGTTTACTAACATACCCCAAAAAATATTTACAAATGTTGGAATCGCTGTCTTCATCTATCAGATAATTGTTACTGAATTGTTTTTAAACTTTATTTGTTATTATTATTAGTACCACGATTATTGTCCTTAGTATTAAATAATTATAATTTATATTTGATTCTTCTATTACTGGCGTCTGAAGTTTCATCATTTAGTAATACTACTGTCCGCTAGATGGCAGCGAAAACTCTTTTTAACAAGTGCTATAAATATTAAATAAATATAAAAAGTAATAAACTTTTCTTTTAAAATATTAAATTAATTGCAAGTTATAACTTGATACTCAATTAGATTTTTTTATTATAATAAATCAGATCAATTTATTTATTTCATTATCTACACATGTATACATCGCGACAACCAGTTGCGAGGGCTCTTGACTTTCTTGTTTTGCGTTTTTATTTTCTATCTGCTATATAATCTGTGGATGTCATAATCTGACGTCATTCAAAGTTCACTAACACAATAAGCTGTATGTGAGAGATCTAAGCCTAGCATTGGTATGGAAAAAATTAAAAAGTATATTATTATAAATACATTTATTAAAAGGTACATTTCTTAGAATCAATCATCACAACATGAACTAACAATCGTCTACTGGGGCAACAGAGACCCATTGGCAAAAATAATAGTAATGTCAATATTTTACATATAAGAACCCCTACCGGTGCCCTCAGATTAAGTCGTATGCGTCAGGCAGGAGTTGGTCTTCAGCCGCTCCATAAGTCCTTTCTTTGGTATGGAGTGCCATCTGCACCTGCCCCCTATCGTTCGGTGAAGTTGAAAAGGCCAGCAGCGTTAGAGTAGTCCGAAAAAAATACATATAGGAATATATATATTTAGTACTAGATGTTCCCGCGACTTCGTCGGCGTGGAATTTAATTATATACGTTTTCTTGTTTTAAAATAAAATAATATCCAAAATAAAAGTAGCCTAAGTTACTCCTTATTACATCAGCTACTTGCCAAAAAAGTCCCGTCAAAATCGGTCTAGCCATTACAGAGATCAGCCGGAACAAACAGACCGACAGACAGACAGACAAAAATTATAAAAAATGTTATTTTAAAAACGGTTATTTCAATATTACAAACATACACTCCAATTTTATTTATATGTATAGATGTATATATAGAAATCCATCAAAAAAAATATATTGACACTTTATTTTTTAAAGTATTGTAAAGTTTAATTTTTATGTGGTCTTAGGCAAAGATATATAACACGTAATTCCACTTACCTAAAAACCAAACATATTAAATCATTTGCTGTACACTTACTGACATGTTACATTAACTTATAACAATATATCCTATAATTCGAATTATCAGTTCCATCTTAATTTATCTCACGTAATGAACGTTCATACTCCGTCTTTGGCGAAAGCACTTTGTGCCAAGTCAGAATAACAAAAAAAAACAATTCGAAAAAAATTTTTTTAATCAATCTTGCTTACTGGTTTATCAAGATTGATTAAAACATAATTACCATTTGGTAGTGTGTATATTAAAAAATTACATCAATTTAAAAGTTTAAGTACTATTAAGCAATCACATTAATATTTGAATAAAGATTATTTCTATTCTAATAAATGTCAATTAAGAAATCATTTTCTTCACTATGCTAACTTTTTTCCTTTTGCCTTCTCCATCTTCTAAAACAGTCAGTCCCTGAAAACTATTAACTAATGACTTTAGACATTCGACCTCGTCTTTCGTCATGCCGGTTGGCAAATCGAACTTACTAAACTCGTTCCTTCCCGCCAAATCTTGACACATGTCGCGGACGCCATTTTGGAAATCCTCATCCACGTTGTAGGTTACTTCTTTTTTATCTACAGGCACAGACTTTAGTGCATTCTGCCACATTACTTTTTCATTTTTAGCTGACCTTTTTATATAACTGTCTAGTTCTGCTAATGGCTTGCCTATTTCTTTGTTTTTTGGCTCTAGTCTTAATGCTTTTTTATAATATATTAATGCTTCTTCATTATTACCTAACATTTGGTGGGCTTTACCACAATAATACAACGCTTTGCAATGTTTATCTAAATCGCTAATTCTATCTAAATTCTCGCACATAATTAATGTATACTTTGGTTTTTTTATTTTATAATAACAAATAGCTAAGTTGACATAGACAATCATTTTTAACTTTTTAATTTCTTCCGCCTCCACCTCGTTTTTGGGTTGGGACAGACCGAGCACAGACATAGACTGTTGATAATTCTTTATGGCTTTTATGTATTTTTTCTTCGCGTAGATTTCTTTAGCTTGGGAATGTAGAGCGTCGACAGTTTTAACGGTGACCTCGAATTTTCTTTGTTCCTCCATGGGTAAATCATTGAATCTGAAATAAAGTTATAAATATATAAAACTTCACGACTGTTATTGCAGATGAGACACTCAGAGGCATTGTCAAATGTCAGCACTATCATTATTTTAGTGAAATAAAAAAAACTATTTTGATACAATAACCATATATTCATGAATACCTATACTTTATTAATATTGATAATGCGTTTTAAACACCAATACATTATTTCTAAATAACCTATAAAAGTGGGTAATTAATATTAATTTCCGATGGTGCTACAACCCTATTTAAAAAATATAAAAACCTGGCAACATCTATAATATTAAATTCGTCTCCAGGATTAAAAAACAGACAACTGGATATAAAGACGTGGATACGTTTTCCCACTAACCTGGCCGTGGCGTACATGTCCCTGACCGCATACAGCGATATGACGAACAGGGCGGTCTCGGGGCGCACCCGGGGCGGCGCCCCGCGCGGGCCCCAGGCGGCGGCGGGGCGCAGCAGCAGCAACACGCGCGCAGCCGGGCCCCGCACCGACGTCAGCCCCACCTCCAGCCCCGGGAGGATGCGGCCCGCGCCTAGACGGATCTTCTGGAAATGGCATATTTATACTTATAATAAATCTGTAGAGAGGTCAATTCTGTACATGAAATATTTTTCCAAAATAACTATCACTATCATATTTTTGTATATTTTTGGCATCAGTATCGATCACTATGATTAGTGATCGATACTGATGCCAAAAATATACATCAGTAAAATTTTTGTCTGTATGTTCGTTATAGAAACAAAAACTACTCGACGAATTCTAACGAAACTTGGTACAATTATTCTTCATACTCTCGGGCAGGTATAGTACTTCATACTATAGTATACTTTTCATCACGCCACGATTAATAGGAGCAGAGCAATAAAGGAAAATGTTAAGAAAACACATCAAAACCACTGAACCGTGAGGAAGGACATAGGATACTTATTTTACGAAAAACGACGGAAACACAGACGAAGTCGCAATCAACAGCTAGTATATAAATAAATAAATAAACAACTCTAGACAATAAACACAGCGCCATCTAGTCCCACGATAAGCAGAACTTAGCGACTGATATATTTACATAGATACTTCGTTTTGTAAATACATAATATACACAGAAAACAATCAGTCCGATACAAACAATGATACTCATGAATTCAAATGCTTACACCGTGCGATGGAATCGAACCCGCGACTATTGGAAATAAAGCGGTGTACGCAACCACAAGACCTCCGAGGCCTTCAAAATGAAATTGAAATTTTAATTCTATTTTGGTAATCAATATTTTATAATTATTTCAATCTGGTGATGATTAATGCGTGAAATGTCCCCAACATTTCACGCATTAATCATCACCAGGGGATTATCAGTAATGTGGACTTATTGCTAGCAATGTACCATATCAGGTTGACTCCATGCGGTGTCCCCTGGAAACCATCGTGATAATATATAAGTTCCTGGTGAACTTCCTCGATGGGCTAACTGGCCTGACCTCAGGCTCATCTTATCCTCCACTGGTGGCTCGCCAGCGTAAACCGTTAGTGGAGACGGATACTCCATTTCATTATAATCCATAACAAAATACGCCCGCACCTTCCACATACGCTCTATGTGTAAGGTAAGGCAAGCTGTAAGAGTAAGGTAAGGCAGGTATTGAAGTCACTATACCAGGGGTGCGCCAGAGTTCATGGTGAGTGTAGAATCGAAGGGTATCTTTGTTTTCTCCCAATATGCAGCGTAGTGTAGGGTCACTTCAGCATCAACCGGCACCAGAGGACCGTCACCTGGTAAAAGACTATAATTAAAGAATTTGTATAAACCCATGACGGCCTCGTGGTCTAGCGGTCTAGCACACCGATTTACGTCCGATGGTCGCGGGTTCGATTCCTCGCACGGCACAAACATTTGTATTCATGTGTATGATTGTTTGTATCGGTCTGGGTATTTTCTATGTATAATATGTATGTATTTACGAAAAAAAAAATTATCTATGTAGTTGTATCAGTTATCTAGTACCCATAACACAAGCTTTAGCTAGCTTAACTTGGGACTAGATGGCGCTGTGTGAATTGTCTTGAGATAATTATTATTATTATTACATGTTTGGATTCAGGTAGGAGTTGGCCTTCAGCCGCTCCGTAAGTCCTTTCTCGTTGTTGAGGATGTAGAAGAAAATATAGATTTTAAGGTTATTTTTCATTTATTACCAGACAATAGTAGTACAATAAAAAAAAAACCGCGAGAGGCGCTGCAGTTGCGCTCGCTCGCATCTACATTCATCGCGCGTTTTTTTAACATTGAGTGTATCACATTTTAAACATTATAGAACATTCAGTGTCGCCTACACTCGTGTTTGGAGTGCCATCTGCACTCACCCCCTATCGTCCGGTGAAGCTGTAAAGGCTAGCTGCGGCCAACAGCATTGGAGTAGTTAAAAAAAACATAAATGAAACAGCTTGAGAGCAAGACGCATAGCGGATGAAAATAAAATGTATATATGTATGCGGCAAAAAAAAACAAACTCATTACCCTCTTCAATAATTAGTATCTTGACATCCCCACTGGGTATGCAGTCCACCATCTTTGCGGACAGTTCGCTGAACGACATGTATTCCGGGGAGGCAAGCATTAGCTTATCAGTTGATTCTTCTACATTTTTTAGTGCATCTTCTATGTCACTGTGAAAGAATAGAATAGAAAATCATTTATTCAAATAAACTTACATTGAAGCACTTTTGAATAGTCATTACATTTTTTTAATCTAGCGTTCATTCGGAAAGCTGTCTCATCGCAAGAAGAACGAGCAAGAAACTTCCGTGTTGCTCGTTTAAATAATTTTATTATTACTTTACATTTTTAAGTTTAAGTGTGTGAATACAAACCACGAATTAGCACTAATTCAATTAAATACTCAAATAGAAAAAAATATTGAATATATAACCAACTGGTTAAACAATTAATAAGAGGAAATCAGTCATAGTGATTAGAGCAGACCAGTCCCTACAAGCAGCACCCGTTCACGAGTATGACGGATGACCCAGCCATCACAGCGCTCGACCATATTTTAGGGAGCCCAATAACCCGGCCCACCACGCCGCCACAAGTCTGGACATTTTAGTGAGCATGACTACTCAAAACACTAGACTACGTCAAAGCTACTTACAATTGCCATCTGATAGTTATAGTATTCACATTTTACATAAGAATGCATGCGGCAATCAATACAAAAACCGCTACGCTTTCATATTTCTAAAATAATTAAATCAAGAAAGCAATGAGAAAAGTAAATTATAACGTTGTATGCTATTAAACTAATTATTTACTTGATATGTTGTCATCTATGAATTCGTCTATCTTAAAGATGGACCATTACACATAAAATTGCAGAAGATCCCATGATTGAAGTGTTTCATCATCCAGAGCAAATATTCAATCAAAAATATATAATTAAAAGTTTAAGAAATAAAAGAATTATTAGTTATATATGTAAGATCGGGTTTATAAGTGACGATTGTAAAATCCACAAATAATGATGACGACTTAGACTTTGAAGCCGGCTACCGCAAGGGAAACCCCAAGTAAGACCGGGATAAACCCATTTCTAATACAATTCATTTTAGTATCCAAAACACAACCGGCACGTCCTACGCTCGTCGACTGAATGCCGCGGCTCACCCAACGAAAGAGGATTATTCAATTTTTTTTTCCGACTACTCTAATGCTGTTGGCCGTAGCTGGCCTGTACAGCTTCACCGGACGTTATGGGGCGAGTGCAGATGGCACTCCAAACCCGCGGAAGGACTTATGGAGCGGCTGAAGGCCAACTCCTGCCCGACGGATACGACTGTAGTCTGAGGGCACCACTAGGGGTTCGAACCTCGGCTCAGGCCGTCGGAATTTCGATCCCCGTTTGAATTGGATTATATATATAAGGGGGGCACATCATTGGGTATTTCATAGTAGACACGGGCGCGCGCAGGCGCCCGGTTGAATGCGCGATATTGTTCGACTACCGACCTCAGTATTTATAGATCGAAGTCGGTGTAGTAGGAAGAGAAGCGGGGGTAATGGATATCATATGACAAATAACTTAATTCGGTCTATAAATACTAGATGGCGCTATTTACAATATTTGTAATAATCTTTACATTGGGTACTTCATTAATACTAAATACAAACTACCTTCTTTTAATATCATTTTAAAATATCGGATATTTCTACAATATTGATGTGAACTCTAACATATATAAACTGTAGAGTTGATATATAGACCTACATGAATAAAGATATTTTGATTATATATATAAGGAGGATCACATCATTGGATGTATTTCATAGTAGACACCTAGCAAGTATTACGACACATCCTCAACGGCGATCAGATCAGACCACCTAGTATAACTATAATAATATGTTATATATGTAATAATTAAATTTAGTTTTACTTATAAAAATTTTAATTGATTTTTCTTTTAGTTTTCCGCCAGCGACTTCACTAACTAGAGTGTAAACACACAAATACATAACAAAAGCAATCAAATCTATCTAATTAACTGATCAGATAAACAAATAATAAAATATGTATTTTGGCAGTGAACTAACCTATCCTCTCCATCATCTAAGTCCGGGTACAGGTCTTCGTCCATGTTCAGGCACATCCCACTCTGTTTCTTCTTGAAGTCCATGTCTATGTGAAACTCTGTGGCTGAAGTCATCAGCTCTCTGAAGGAATACCAAAAAATATTTTTTTTCATATTTATTTCCATATTATAACACCATAACATAAGTAATTAAAATGACAAACAAGTTGAGGATCAATAAAATGGTAAGTGGCCCTTCTCTTTTTTTTTATTGAGAATAATAATATCTACCATCCCCTGGATAATCTACCATCTACTCCCAAGGTAAGTAGAGCTTGTGTTATGGGTACTAGACGACTGATATAAATATACAGATACTTTTTTTTGTAAATACATAATATACACAGAAATCACCCAGACTGATACAAAGAATCATTCTTGAGAATACAAATGTTGTATGATGCAAGGAATTGAACCCGCAACCATCGGACGTAAAGTGGTTGTGCTATGTGTACCGCTACACCAATAGATAGACAAATATTTTATTTTAATTAATAATAGAATGGTGTTTTTACAGTTTATTCATCTTGATAAATTTATCAAGAATTTGTTATGATGGCATGGCAATGCGAGCAATTGGGATAAGTCCACATTACTAACAATCCTCTTCCCTGTGAACTGATGTTTTTATTGCTAGCAATGTACCATGTCAGGTTGAACTCCACGCGGTTCCCACTGTAAACCATTGTGATAAATAATAAATATTATAAATAAGTTACATAAATTCTTACTGAATTTATCACGATGTGCTAACTGAGCTGATCTCATGCTCATCTTATCATCCACTGGTGCCCTGCCAGCATAGCCGGGTGCACCATTCAATAATCTTTTATAGACAATAAAAAAACATTCTGTCTTAATTGTTTACTACCTGTTAGTTAATTATATGTATATAAATTACTCACCTAAGATTTATACCTTTGGAAAGCTGAACAGGGTCTTGAAATACTTTGTCCATTTTAGTTTATTTATTGACTATTTAACAAATAAAATTTTTACATTAAAATAAAGACCTTTTTTTTATTGATATTTACAAATAAAATTATTTTATACCTCCACTTATATTGAAGAAAACATTAGTAATTATTTTTTACAATTAAAATATAATGATATAAATATATATTTTTTAAATACAAACTGTTAAATGTAAATTTCAATTTTCCATTAAAGTGGAATTGAGCTGTGCCGGGCAATTCTATCAATCAACTCCTTGTCAATCAAAATTTTAAAAATAATATGTAACAACCATAGAATAAAAAATAATTGTAAGCCTTTATAAAAGGTTTTTTTTTATAGATATTAGGGTCGATTATTTTTTTATAATTGCAAAATTTTTAGGATTTAATTTGTTTAAAATCAGAATTGTTAATAAATACAAACTAATTATTCATCTATATTATATATTATTGACTTGAATGAGATTGACCACGTAATTTAAATTATACTGCTTAAGTAAAATTTCTCTCTGCTTTTTCTTTATTTTAACTGGCAGCCACCAATTGTGATCGGTAGTTTTGGGGGTTTAAGAATTTTGAGAGTCGAAGAATTTCGTAGCTATGCCTTATTTCGCCAACTCCGCCTTCACTTTTTTTGGTTATCATATTATAGGAAAGGTCTCTCATTTGATTTGTCAGCTGTCATTTTTGACAGTAAGTACTCGTGTTGTTTTGTAGTCGTATTGTTTATTCAGTTCAATAATCATTGCACTATAATATTTGAACATAAAAACGTATTATTTATTTTTTGGAAACAGTCTTACCAAAGTCTTACTTAATACAAGTTGTGACTCTATATAGTGACCTTAATACAATACTTCCACTGTAAAAAAATACTTCAAATGTAAGTTATTTTAAATATTTTATTATTTTTAAAATAGTAAGTTGGAAACATATATTTTTTAAATCAATATTAACTGTTAGCATATTCCTTTGTCGCTGCACAGTCTTGTTTTGAAAAAAAAAAGTTCTTAAAACTGTTGCATTTGCGCATATGCACTGCAGAAGTGCATCAATAGTACCAATAAAGTGAAAAATCAATACTAATTGCAGATGTCGCTGCTACATCAGTTTGTAGTTCGCATATCAGTTTAAATTACCCACTTATTACGTTATCATAAAACAAAATACTTAAGAAACAACTAATAAGTGAATTTGAAGTGAAGACTATTGACACGTGTATGTCCTCTTTTTTCTTGGAAAATAAACTGCAGGGAGTTGAAATAGGGGTGAAAGTTTGATAAAGTCATGGGTAACAGAAAGACCCTTAAAATTATCACTTATCTATATATCTGTCTGAGGTCCACAAATTCATGATATGAAGTCCCTATACAAACTTTCGTCCTATATTTCACACCCCCTCGTTTATTTCTTTTAATAAAAATAGTGATATGTTTCGCCTTTATAATATTGATTAAAGCGGTGGGGGGGGGGGGGGAAAGGGATTGTTAGGAATGTGGACTAGATCTTGTCGCTAGCAATGTACCAAGTCAGGTCAGGGAAACCATCGTGATAAATTCTTGGTGAATATGTCATCATGTGCTAACTGACCTGACCTCATGCTCATCTTATCGTCATCCACTGGTGCCCCGCCAGCGTAAACCGTTAGGTGCACCATTCTATTTTAAAACAAGAAAAAAAAATTATGACTGCTACTTGATATTTGTTTGTTTGTTTTTATTTGAAACACTTATTGTCAAGTACTCATAACACAAATTGGACTTGGCTTGCAAATGAATGGTGCTGTGTGAATTGCCCTGCGTTATTATTATTAAATTTACAATAATATTTGTATTTTTATTAGTTGTTTTACACCTAATTACCTTCTAATGGTCTGTGATAGGTTTTTTAAAAGCAAAGAAAATTAATTTAATTCTAACTTACAATTTAGGAAAGAATTTTATTGCGATTGATTCGTCTTATATTAAATTAACCTATTCGCGTTCACGACTAAAACTAGAGTGCTTGTCCACCTGCCTTCCTTTGTTCTCGTACCTCTTGGATGCCGCTCATTTGAGTCAGCAACTGGAATGTGTTATTGCCAATTGTGTAATTACAGGTAGATAGTTATTTTTTTTAAATTTTATTTAGGAAGATTAACGGTGTAATTTTACATGTTACTTGTCATATAAAATTGTTCCGTGGGGGTTTGTACTCATAACAACCTATTGCTGGCAGCTTGTCTACCATCCTTTTATAAACGTTGTATTTTTGATTTTTTTTTTTCTATGTCACTTTTGACTTGTTACTTCTTAGCTGTGAACTCTTTTGGCAATTTTTTTTTTCTTAATACATTTGCGATCAGTCCCAGGATTATAAGTGAATATGTTCTGTGATGCTGTCATGTAGAGCGGCTTCCCATTGGAAACCTTACTCATCTGCATCCCAGAGCTACTGCCGATCTTCTGTGATACTGTCATGTAGAGCGGCTTCCCATTGGAAACCTTACTCATCTGCATCCCAGAGCTACTGCCGATCTTCTAGCTCCAGGATATGATAGCGTTTTAGTCGGCGCACATGCTTTTTGGGAAATATAAACATTGATTACAATCATTAAAGATTTTTTGTAGTTGTTATGTTCCCGCTCCAGTTACAGTATCTATAACACATGCTCTGCTTAGCTTTGAACTAGGTGGCGCTGTGTGAATTGTCCAGAATTATTATTCCAAGCAATAGTAACAGTTATTCAATAAAAAACCACAACACAAGCTTTGCTTACCTTGGGACTAGGTGGCGCTGTGTGAATTGTCCTAAGATACTATTATCCCATCAAAAACATAAATGTGAAATGATAGCCGTGTTTAATATTATGATATATGCCTTGATTGTTGACTTTTACGACAAAAGAGGTGAGATCTGAATGGGTGCCAAGTTCAATGGTCTGTCCTGAAATGTATTTATAACAATATAAAATATCATTTCTTCTTAAACTTAGGATAATATACTGTAGCCTAAGGTCTAACCGTTCAAGTATTACGTAAGCAGATTTATTACAATTATTTACCCCCCATCCCCCTTGTCAGCAAAAGTAACAAAGCTCTTACCACCTCCCCTCATGCTTACGTAAACATTTTTCAATTAATTAATTGTTTTTTTTAGCAAAGACATTGTGAGGGTTGCCATTGTGTAAAAAAGTAAATAACTAGCGATGACGTAATCGTCATCTAGACTCCCCTACCCCCATGTCATCCAAAATACGCAAAGTAAAGAATCCCCCCGGCCCCCGCACCCGCACAGTGCTTACGTAATACTTGAACGGTCCCTTTACAAAAATACTTGTATGTACCATGCCTTGTTTAGTTTCTATAACACAAGATCTACTTAGCTTCGAGCTAGATGGCGCTGTGCGATTTGTTCTTACATATTATTATTCTTTCAGAACTATGGCAGAACCCGAGCCCAATCAATTAATGTCGTGCCCGTACAACATGGCACACCAGGTCGAACATTATCGTATGCACATCCACCTCCAGAAATGCAGGAAACAGTACCCCAATTGTAAGAAAGTAACCTGCCCATTTGATGCTACTCACATTGTCAATGATGTAGAACTGGATGTAAGTATGTTTTTTTTGTCTCCTCTTATTTATTTACTAGCGTTTACCCGCGGCTTCGCTCGCATAACTTCATTACTGGCTGCTAGATGGCGCTGATTTATAAATTCATTATGCACTGCTAGATGGCGCTGAAGTAGCAAATTGTTGATTTTTTGCCTTTTATAAACAATACTTGGTTTAATTTAAGTAAAAAGTATCTTATGTTCATTCTAATACCTCTAAGAACATGTGTACAAAATTTCATGATGATCAGTTCAGTAGTTTTTGCGTGAAAGCGTAACAAACATTCCTACTTTCACATCATTATCATTATATAGTATAAAACAAAGTCGCTGTCGCTGTCTGTCCGTCCCTATGTATACTTTAATCTTTAAAACTACGCTATGGATTTTGAAGCGGTTTTTTTTAGTAGATACGAGAGATTCAAGAGGAAGGTTTATATGTATAATACCCGTGCGAAGCCGGAGCGCGTAGCTAGTATAATATAAAGACCATGCAATAAAAACAAATAAATATTAGGAACCAAGGAGGGAAAGAGGCATGACGGCAGTTCGTTGAAGATTCACTTCCATTTTCTTTTCAGTACCACGTGACCTACTGTCGCAAGCGCGTCATGCTTGACTCTCAGATATACGTGATGGATGATGACTACCGACCTGTCGTGGAGGTGCAGCCGCCGCCGGCCGTGATACCCTGCGACGAGAACTGGGATGATGTAATTTTTTTAATTTTTTATATACATACTCAATGATGAATAGATAGAAAATTTATTCAAATAAACTTACAGCACTTTTGAATAGTCATTACATTTTTTTATCTACCGCTGATCCGATGTTCGGGAAACGTTGTTTTGTAATATAAATTTATATCATTATTATGAAATAATGGTTGTTGATAGAAGGTAGAAATATTTAACATACATAATATATATAGAAAACACCCAGACCAATACAAACAATCATACTTGTGAATACAAATATTTGGACCGTGCGAGGAACCGAACCCGCGACCATCGGAAGTAAAGCGGTTTGCTAAACCGCTAGACCATCGACGCCGTCATATATTAAGATTTCATTATCATCCACAAAAAAGAACTGCTGACAATCAGGTGTGGTACCTAAGTGGTTTCGGAAGCTTCCTTCCTCCCACTTACATTGTGGAATGCACTACCTGCCGAGGTTTTCTCACGACACTACAACATGGGGTTGTTCAAGAAGGGTATATTAAGGTTTCTTAAGCGTTGGCAACACCCATGTAACACCCCTGCGTCCATAGGCTACGCTAACCGTTTACCATCAGATGGGCCGTATACTTGTTTGCCACGAACGTAGTATAAAAAAAAGGTGTACCATTTCTTTCATTACTTAAAATTAACATTTCCTTATTCCAGGAAGTAACAACGTCGTACAAGCCCGATATGTCCAAGAAGGGTGCTCATATAATTACTAAGATTAAGGGTGCTACGCCCTCCGAGAGACGAAAGGCTCGCATGGACGGCATCAAGAATTATAGACCATTGGAGAACTAATTCAGTGTACCTCTAAATGTTACTACAAAACTCGTGACTTCATCTGCCAAAAATAAGAAGGATTGAAGGGGTGAATCCCCTTCTAAATTAGTTATTAAGATTACAGGTGGCATATATCCCTATTGACTACCACTAATTGTTGCTAAAGTATCAGCAATTTCATCTGCACAAACAAGAAGGGGTGAAATGGGGGATGAATCTCTGTTAAGATCAAAAATGGCATATATGTCTATAGACCACCACTAATTCTTATTTTACTACCAGTGATTTCATCTGCACAAACACGAAGGGGTGAAATAGGGGATGAAACTCTTCTAGATTATTTATTAAGATCAAAGGTAGCTTATATCCCTGTAGACTACTACTGACTATTATTAAAGTACCCATGAATTTATCTGCATAAAAAAAAAAGGATGAAATAGGGATGAATATCTTCTAGATTATTAAGATCAAAGGTTGCATTGCCCCAATAGATCACTGGAGAAATAATATAATTAATGATAGCTCTAATAGTCAACGAACAACCTGTGACTCACAAACAAGAAGGGATGAAATCTCCTATTTCATCCCTTCATGAATCTCCTTCTAGATTATTTATAAGCCGCTTGAGATTAATGTAATTCATTATGACAGTAACTATTATAACTCCCTTGGACTTCTCAAATGGCCTATGTCCCTTCTCATAATTCTATATTAAATAATAAAAAATACAAATTTTCACAAAATAAATATATTTTTTATCTATATTCTAAATTACCACACAAACCGAGCTTAAATATTATTGTAAAATTCATACTGATGTTGTATTTATGATGTGTATTTATTTATTGACCGGCTGCTAATGGCCATTATAATATATAACTTAAATAAGTCTTATAGTTATAAGGTCGTAACTAGTGTTGTAATTTAACTTATGTATTTTACATAATTACGGTACATTATAAATAAATAAATAATAAATAACCCTGTACAATTAACACAGCGCCATCTACTCCTAAGATAAACAGAGCTTGTGTTATGAGAGATAACTGATTTAAATATATTTTTCTTTGTAAATACTAACATAACATGCAAACAAACAAACAAACACCCAGACCGATACAAATAATCAGGGATGTTATGGATGTGAAATATCGGATATGGATAGATTTCGGATATAGGAATGATTATCATACCGGATACGGATATGAAATTATTTCGGTTTAACCGTTAGTTTCGGACAATTTCATTTGCGGATATTAAAGTAAAATACAAATAGCTAATAAAAATGGTTACATAACATATCTCATTAGGCTCCGTCACGTATATTATATACCGTATCGGATAGTGATCCGATATCATCCGAAACTATTATTTCGGATTCGGTTACGGTTACGAATATTTTTTTATATCGGATATCCGATAGTTTCGGTTACGGTTACGGACCTCCCTAACATCCCTGCAAATTATCGTATCTGTATTGATTTGGTGATATGAGTATGATCAATGAATAATGTTTGAATCGAACCCCCGACCAGCGGAAATAAAGCGGTGTTTTAAACCGGTAAACCACAGAAATCGTAAAGTTATAAATGTACACTTGTAATTTATGGTAATTTTTCAAACGAATTTATCGTTAATGGATAATTGAGTATAACTCGGTATGTATTTAAACGTTTGGCGCCAAAATGGTAGATTTCCCTAATATTGATGTGATAATTTTGTTACCGTAGTAAATGTTTAAAATAATCATATTGTGTTTTATTTACATCGCCAAATATACTAATTCAACTAGCTGTTCCCGTGACTCCGTCCGCGTGGTAGTTAATTTTATTTTTCTAAAATAAAAGATTATTTCTAAACCAAAAGTAGCCTAATTTACTTCTTATTACATCAGCTACAGACCTATTCAGTGGATGCTTCGACAGACATACACATGCACACACACGCGCACATACGTAATCTGTGTACTGTTATTTGTTTGTAATTGTTCGCACTATTTGTTAATCTATTTTTTGTTAGTTTAATGTGTGTTTTAGTTTTCTACTGAATAAATATCATTTCATCATTTCAGCTACCTGCCAAAAAAAGTCCCGTTAATATCGGTCCAGCCATTTCAGAGATTAGCCGGAACAAACAAACCGACAGACAGACAGACAAAAATTGTAAAAAAATATTTTTTAGTGTATGTACCGTATTTATATTCATATGCATGTAGTAAAAAACGGTTATTTCAATATTACAAACAGACACTCCAATTTTATTTATATGTATAGATAACAAAACCATTTTATAATATTAATATGCCTAGACAAATCAAATTAAAAGAATATTTGTTCATGTAAGACTTTTTTTCGGACTACTTCAATGTTGTTGTCCGCAGCTGACTTACAGCTTGCAGGACTTATAGAGCGGCTGAAGGCCAACTCCCGCCTGACGGATACGACTTTAGTTTGAGTGCACCGCTATGGGTTCGAACCTCGGCTTAGGCTGTCGTTATTTCGATCCCCGTTCGAATTGGACGGAAGATCGAAGGATATTGTAGTGGCCTATGAACGTAAATTTATGTTTTAATTTTTAGTTTACCATTCAGTTTGATATACAGATTCAATTAAGAACTAACAATAAACTCGACTGATTTTTTTAAAGGCACTTTATTTACAATATAGTAGTATATTTAATGGCTGCATGGACTTAGACTCTGTTCTATAAGGATAAACAAAACTAAAGAGTGTTAAAAAGAGAATTTTGGCATACTCTAGTATTGTTATGAGTGTTGGACATAAAACTCCTTTGTTATATACATATATTATCTTATATATAAAATTCTCGTGTCAGTTTTCGTTCCCATACTCCTTCGAAACGGCTTGACTGATTCTCATGAAATTTTGTGATCGTATTGAGTAGGTCTGAAAATCGGTCAACATCTATTTTTCATAAATGTTAGGGGTAGTACTAACTACCCCTTTTAAGGCAAAACGTTTGCCGGGACAGCTAGTTGCATATAAAAAAGAAAAAACATTAATTAAAAAGACCACTGTGAATAAAATGGTGTTTCTTTATTTGCCCTCTGCAAAAAAAAACCCAATGAGTACAGTACTTTATTTTAGAGTGTGATTAGGAACAACCTATATGTATATTTTACTATTGTTATTTTTTTTATCTGACCTTCACAGAATATCAGGTCTGTGCCAGTAAGCTATCACAGTATATGCTGAATAGGGGCCATATGGCGAACTAGAAATATAGAAGTGTAATTCTATTGTAATTTTATAAATATATAGTCATTACATAGTATAAAACAAAGTCGTTGTCGCTGTCGGTCCATTACTATGTATGCTTAATATGTATCTTTAAAATTATGCAATAGATTTTGAAGCGGTTTCTTTTAATAGATAGAGTGATTCAAAAGGAAGGTTTATATGTATAATACATGTACACCCGCGCGAAGCCGGGTGGGTAGCTAGTTGACAATAATTTACTTTATTTCATTTACTTTAGTTGACAATAATTTACTTTATTTAATTTCATTAATTTAATAAAACAATGAATGAATGTAACAAGATTTATTCAACATTTTTCAAATAATCTTCATCCATCTTTTGGAATTTGTCTATCATATCATCAGGTACGTCCACTGTAGACAAATCTTCTGCGCCTACTTCTTCCTCCTTCTGTATCAATATATCTACTACATTTTCACACGTTAATAGAGCTTTAGGGTCTTTCTCCCACTTATGGTACTCTCTTAAGACGTAATAAACTCCATTCTCCCGTAACACCTCCCTACCGTTCTGTTTAGTGCATAATTTGTTTAATGTCTCCAAAACTATTTTGCGTATATCCACATCTGGATCCCGAGTCTTCTCTTTCGGTAGGTATTGCAACGCTATTGGTAATTTATCCATTTCCTCATCAGGATAGTCTTCATTACCCATTAAAGGGCTTAATAAGTATGTCAATAAATCCAGTTCGTTGCTTAATAAGAATGTGTGATACTCGGTATCAAACGATAGATTCCGTACGGTACCCAAAGCACCTCCTCTCCTTATTACGGACTTCTCAAAGTTACAAAACGGTAATAGTTTAATTAACGGCACATGTGGATGTTCCTCTGTCAGCCACTTCCTTATTCTATTACTGCAACTTAGGTTACTAAACATTGGCGCTAAATAATTCAGATTAGATCCGGTTTTATTAAAATCTATGTTCACAAATGCATTTAATATATCATTTAGTTGAGGTAGGAATGTGTCTATGCATATTTCCAGTTGATCCTCGAGTCTGGTGACGTTGGAAAGGATCATACATGCGGCGTCTGCATATCTTTTCTGAGGATTCAGAACATAACCTATAAGCAAGTTTAGTATGTTTCTATGAGTGCTAGGCTTGTATTTTAACAGTTCTGTAGCCCCCTTAGCGTTTGCCGTGACGTTAACGAGAAGTAGTAGAGCATTCTTAGCGATTTCTTCGATTCTATCGTCGCACAGTTCAATTACGTTTTGAATAATTTGTTCATTCTGTAATAATGTATTTATACCATCTTCACTGCCAGATAATCCTACCAAATGGTCGAGAGATATATGTTTTAAGTCTATCCTAGATTCTGGCTTTAAGAATTGTAATATTTCGTTGAGGGGGTCATTGGACATTTTGTAAATTTATCAATATAAACAGTACACGGGCAAAACTTCTATTAATGGGATGGAAAACATGAGATTTTTAATGTTGTGACGTCCATTTTGACAGTCACAATACTGACATTGACAGTAGAATGATGTTTTTTATTCGGTTTTTCCCATCTCAGGTAAAGGCAAAAGAACTCCGTCATTACAGCCATTTTCTTCGATAGCAATAAAGTAATATAAAAACAATAATTAATGTCAATTATGAGACTTAATCGTCATGAATGATTACCCGTTGAGTTTGATAAAACCATAAAATATTTACTATATGAACAATTTTGCTCACTACAAATGTTTAATATAGTCAGCCTAATTTTTTGCCTTTTTTTATTGTTATTATTTCAGTTACTGTTGTTGTTGAAATGTCAATATGATAATTATAAATATATCTTAAGTGTGTTTATACAAAGAAAATAATTTAAGTCTAATGTATATTTAATACGGTAACGCCATCTTGTATCTATTTGCAATACATCACTATTTCTAGCAATTTGACAACAGATGTCGCTACTTGTCTTCACGAGACACGCATTCTTAGTCTTGGAGTTTTCATCACAAAAATATTGAACTTTCATTGGTCGCGGGTTCGATTCCTTGAACGGTACAAACATTAGTATTCATAAGCACGATTGCTTGTATAGGTGTGAGTATTTTGTATGTATTTACAAAAAAAAATATCTATGCATTTATACAAGTTGTCTAATCTAATACTCATAATACAAGCTATTCAACAAAAACTATTTCATATAGTGTTACATAATTCGCCCACTGTTTAGCCTAAGAAGTCGCTGTTTGAATTCATTGAATTGTCCTCAGATATATATTATTATTATTCTTTCTACCCCAGAATATTTTTTTTGTGCTAATGTTTAAGATCGGGGGTTAAAAGAAACAATGTTAAGCGTTTTAATATTTATTCTGTAAACTGTGCACTTAGTACAATTGATTTAAAAAAAATATTTACAATTATTACATAGTTGTAGTGTACTTGTTATTACAAATTATGGACAGAATGTGACTACTAACTATAGTTAACAGAGTTTTTTTATTTCCAGTGCTGGATTAATTCTAGTTAATTCTTTTACGATGCTGTTGTTTTCGGTTCGTAAGTTTAGTTTTGCGACTGCACAACCTTTCTCCATATAAAACGTGCTATTCTATAAATTTACTATAAACTCTAATTAAAGTAGATGAAATTTTATCCATAGACTAAGATAATAATATCAATGTTTCGCACTAGTCAGAATTTCTTTAAACAAGTTTCTTTTAGAATTATCGGTAACTGAAAACACGAATTTCACCAAATCACCTATCTTTTGGTCATTCGTATGAACAATGTGTCTTGCATTGTTGTATATAAACAAATTAAAAAATATCTATTGTAATTACTTCTTTATTGTATAGTCTTCAGACAGACGGGCGGTAGACCACAATAGCATTTCCTATTCCTGCTACTAACTTAATCCAGCACTGTTTATTTATGTAAAATAGTTAATAGCTGCCTTTATACGACAAATTCATTCACGCCCATTCAGGAGAGCACGAATTACCGCGGGAAAAACAGCGGACGCAATCGTGAGCGTCTATCATCGAAATCATTCTGAACTGACGTTAGATTTGACATATCATAAGAGTCTGTAATAGACCTACATGAATAAAGATATTTTGAATTTAGTTTCTTTTTTATTTATTTCGTTCACTCTTTCGCGCGTTTTTGCGCATATGACTTTGTTTTAAATTTTATTCCACAGATTATTATCCAGAGACACGTTAAAGATGTATAAAATATCAATAACTCTACAATTAAGTCTTTTCTCTATAATCAGATGTCCGCCATTTTGCAATGATAATTAATTAAAACAAAATGGCGCTAAAGCGCGCGCGAATATTGTACGCGGGAATGCGCTCGCTGTTTGCGCGCGCGGGCACTCTCGTTCGCTTTGTCTAGTCTACATTTGCGCACTGTCTTTCCTCTGTGAAAGAGCGTACGTGTAAAGACAACTAATATTTTATTTCAACTATCTATTCCGTCAGATAACTTTCTAGAAGATATAGATAGTGAAATTCTAGAAGTAATAAGTGATATTCAAAGTACTTGAAGCGTTATCTAGATGGGTTTCAATGTATTTCTATCGAATGCTACTATTAATACTTATATTATAAAGAGAGAGAGAGAGAGAGAGAGAGAGAGAGAGAGAGAGAGAGAGAGCAGATTTTGAAGTTTAAAAATGAATATTAAAAGTTTGAAGTACGGAGTTTTGAAAGTAAACTCCGAATCGTTGCACCGAATTGAGAAATTCTTTCATTGTTTGAAAGTACAGTACTGTTTCTATGGGGCCGTTCAAGTATTACGGAAGCACTATAGGGGAGCGGGGGGTCCTTTCTTTGCTTATTTTGGATGACATGGGGGTGGGGGAGTCTGTATGATGATTACGTCATCGGTCGTAATTTACTTTTTTACACGAATGGCAACCCTCACATTGTCTTTGCTAAAAAAACAATACATTAATTGAGAGATGTTTACGTAAGCATGGGTGGAGGGGGTAAGAGCTTTGCTTACTTTTGCTGACAACGGGGGATGGGGGGTAAATAATTGTGATAAATCTGCTTACGTAATACTTGAACAACCCCTATCAAGTAATAATAATAATAATTTTTATTTGTCTCAAACAAAAACTTTTCACACAATACAACTGTTGCCCATACAATAATATAATTTAAAACTAAAGAATGAGACAAAACGGTCTATAACTCAGTGTGGGCAGTGAGTCCACCCTCTCTGCTATTCTGTTATAGCCTTTATCAGTAAAATAATACAATATGAGATCGACGACGACGATAGCATATTCTCTTCATATTATAAACAAACAAACAGTTTTCCTCTTTATTATATTTGTATTCATAGTTTAGAATTAAATGCAGACTAAATCACTAAATAACTGCAATATTATGCATTATTAATTTTATTTTAAAATTATAATGTGATTAACACGACTTGATCATGACATCCTTTCCTATGGATTCGATTTTTTATTTTTAATTTCAATTACAGGATTAGAAATATGGCGTCGCATTATTAAAATTGTGTGGAGTAGCTAATGTCAACCTGTTGTAATTATTTTCGCATTACATATGACGGAGGGTCAGCAATAGATGGCGCTAATAGGATGTTTTCATGACTTAACAAATACCTAACTACTACCTAATACATAATTATAAATTGAACACTGATTAGTTCAATTTATAATTATTATTCATCGGAATATATTCATTTTGAAGAATATATCTTTAATACGAAATACTCTATGGATAGAAAAATAAATGCATAATGTATTCTGTGCTATTTTCTAGAATAATTAATGTTTTTTTTTTGGGTAATTTTAAATCACAGAGTGGGCTTCTGTTAATGGAAACTATATATTTTTTGTATCGAACCGTGATGACTGTAAATGTAGATTAATTTTGAAAGATTGGTCCGTATATGAACTCTCTTTAGAACAAAACAATTTGAATGGGAAACTGCGAGTTCTTTTTTAAAAACAATACATATTGTTATTTAGATTCAATTCTTATAAAGCCAATAAACATATTTTAATAACGACTAACTGCCACTTTGTCCTAAAACTAATAACGCGCTTTCTTTAAAAAAAAAAAGCTTAATATAAAACTGAAGAGTTTATAAGTAATAATGTTTTTATAGAAAACCTAACTTATTGTTTCCATGTTTATTTTTGCATGCCTGAACCTTGTTAATATTTACTTAAAACAACATTTATTTAAAAGAGCAACACGCAAGTTTCGTTCTTCTTGTGATAAGTCTGCATTCCGAATGAGTGGTAGAATAAAAAAAACATGACTATTCAAAAGTGCTTATATTAAGTTTATTGAATGAACATTATTTCTATTTCTATAAAAAGTGTGGGTCTAATCTATATTAATCCAATATGGCGTACACTAAAGTTTGTTTTTTTTATATTATGCATTTAACAGGGAGTAAAAAAGGAAGAACATATTGGAACAGTTAAATAGAATTTGTAGACATTTTCGTTTTTATTACCTACGTTAACAATATTCGTGTATTAATTTAAAATTACCCAATAAAATAATGTTCCGGATAATTCGATTGCCGTTCGGAGAAAAATATGATATAATAGGTAAGCTTCTCTGACAGCGATTATATTGGAATTAAAATTAAAAACATAAATAATTTGGCGCCTAAATTGAAACAACACTTATTAGTTATTTACTTTTGCTTTAGTTATCTTTTATCTTTTAGTTATGCTTAATTCGAATATGAGCTTTAAAAAATATTTCTTTTTTTTCTCTTTCTGGCTCTGGCGAAATATTTAATCTGGACTAAATATCGAACATAACTTTTAAAAATGTTTAGACCCAGGTAACACGTTATACAGTTATTTTAAGTGGTAGTTTTTTTTACTATTATAGGATATTGTATTAAATATGATTTTCTTTTAGAATTGATAATAATAATATGCCTAAATAATGTCGTAATTTTCTCCGAACGGTAGCAACGTTACCCGGTACTTTGGTAAGAGGTGTTCATAACTGGTTTGTTATCTAGTTCTAATATGAATGATGTAAATTTACATAATTAAATGATTTTAATACGCTAAGAATCTTAAGCTTGTCACGATAACAATAGCGAACAGAGAAGTCTTCAGTATAACAGCATCTGTAATAGATAATAAATTAATTAGAAACTATTAGAAGGTTATTTAATCTGTAGACTGACGAGAAAGTGAGAGGTAGAGGGGATTGTTAGTAATGGGTACCAACTTTGTTATCTGTGGTAATGGGGACCAGAGCCCCTGTATACAACACATTGATGAAGAGGAAGTAATTAAAAATGTCAATCATTCGCTTAATATTAAAAAAAAGGTTATTGAAAAAAAGTTATGTTAAACATAACCAATTAAAAAAAAATTGTCACCATGTATGACACTACTACTTAATTTAGGTTAAGTTTAGTTTAATTGTATAAGTTATGTCGCTAGCTTAAGTTATATTTTTAAGTAGGTTACTTAAGAAATAATAATAAAAAAATTACGTAATACAATTTTCAAGATCAGAAAATTTGTAAGTTGAGTGATACTGGTCATCTGCACCCTAAGGTCATGAAGGTTGGCCTCGGGGCGAACCCCTCTGTCCCGGCATCAGCTCCGGAGAGAACAAACCTGGGTAGTTTTTTATTTTTTGAGCAAAACAACAGCAGATAAAGAAAAAATGAAGAGGACCTGTTTTGTACAGAATTTTTTTCTCTACAACTTTCATTTAAAACATTTTTTCAGATTTCTTACCGTCATCGAGTTATTTTGAAAAATAGCGGTGTTGTCCGTCACAATGTTTATTCGATATTAAAATGTTCTGTATACAAAAATATATAATAAAATTCTTTAGAAAAATACAATATATGAACTATAAAAGTATGTGGCCAGTACCTCAGCAACAAGCTGTTTTCAACCATTTTTTTTTATTTTCCGTCAACTTAAATATATATATTTTTAAATATTATATTCACGTATTGCCGACTTATTTTTATGTATATATTGCGCTAAATCTGGTCACAATGTTTTAATTTAATAATTTATTGTACTAAAATTTCCGGTTCAAGATAAGCACTGGAGTTTCTTAAATATACAACTGGCCACTAATAAAGAGAACATTCTTTTGAATAAAAAAGCATAAGAGGCCGTATGAAATTGGATTTTAATAAAAATGTCATAATATTTAGACATTGTGCTCCATTTATTCTACATTAAATAATTATTAATATCTACACGCGTTATAGAACAGTCTGGAAGAATATTCCTAGACGACGATACCGCTTGTGTTTACTGTTAATATAAACTATTTCGCGAGCGTCGTTCGTTATATTCCACAAGAGACATGTCTTCGTTTTCCTGCCATCCGGACGTGTTCTGCCTGGACCCGATGTGATTGTTCATTAACAGTGCTCTGGATTGGATTGCAGGTAAGCGAGTACTGTTATTTTATGGGTATTTGTTGTCGCGCAGTCAGGGACTCTAAAGTTTCTGGAAGGACGCCCTGTTGTTCCGGTTAAGTTCCCGCGTGCATCTTTATTTTTGGATTACTCTAATGCTATTGGCCGTAGCTGGCTACAGCTTCACCGGACGATAGGAAGCGAGTGCAGATGACACTCCAAACCAAAGGAAGGACTTTTGGAGCGGCTGAAGGCCAACTCCCGCCTCACGGGTACGACGTCAGTCTGAGGGCACCGCTAGATTCGAACCTCGGCTCAGATAGTTGTAATTTCGATCTCCGTTTGATCGATAGGAGGGGCGATCGGGGCTGCCGGTGTGAAGCGCCCCAATGATTGCGCGGTATGGTGTGTTTGAGGTCGTCGCCTTCGCCGGGGAGGACGGTGTCGCGTCTGTGTGTGATAGCGTGGTAGGGAGGCAAGTAGGGTGAGTCCATAGGGAGCTTATCTGCCGTTATGGGGTCGTCGGGATCAATAAGAACGTGCCTCGAGCGGCGTTGTCACTTAAGGGTATATCTCCTCAGTGCATTGCCGACCATACTGAATATAAGTTCTTCAGTGGGTTTTGGTGTGGACACGGGCGCTCCACACCGGCGCCCCCAGGCGCCCCTCCGGTCGATCCCCAGTCCAATTCAAACGTGGATCGAAATTACGACGGCCTGAGCCGAAATTCGAACCCCTAGTGGTGCCCTCAGACTAAAGTTGTATCCGTCAGGCAGGAGTTGACCTTCAGCCGCTCCATAAGTCCATCCTTTGGTTTGGAGTGCCATCTGCACTCGCCACCTAACGTCCGGTGAAGCTGAAAAGGCCAGCTGCGGCCAACAGCATTAGAGTAGTCCGAATAAAAAAAAGTGGCTACCAGTAGTTACCCTGTGAAGCCCAGAAGTTCGCAGGTAACTTCCCCCACAGATTTGCCGTCATAAATGTAAATACATACCGCTACAAGTGTGTTCCCTCTCCAGGAATCCGTTCTCCTTGTCGCAGAGGCAGATTTTGTCTTGTGGCGTGTAGACCCGGAAGTGAGGTGGGGACGAGCTGGTGATGTTCGGGCTGGCGCAGATGAGGCCGTCGTTACACTCATCGCTGGTGGTGCAGACATGGTACAGAGCTGCCGGGGAGATGTCATAAACATTAGGTAAATGTAATATTTGAAAATGAAACTAGATGTTGTTGTAAACGTAAAACGCGCTATAGTTTCATTTTGCCAAAATTATATAAGGTGAATAAACCTTAATGTCAAACATCATCTGCTACTTCCTTATCCCATTTATTTGTGGTCGGCGTAATGTTTTTCTCTTCCATTCATCCCTGTTCGCAGTCATCTCGTTATTCACTCCCTTTCTTGCTATATCATCTTCCACAAATATTTTCTACGTATTTGCATCAGCAAAGTTGCAAGTTGCAAAGTATTTGTATCAGCTGTTACCCATAAGACAACCAGGGCTGTCTTTTATCTATTATAGGCCCTGGGCACATTAGGATAATGGAGCCCTTATGACCATAGTAATAAAGCACCATTTTGTTAGAATAAACAAAGTCATTTTTGAACATGGCTCTTTAGAGCTATATGGGGATGCCCTACCTTCAAAACAAATCAGGCAAAAATAATTCTAAAAAGTCGTTATGTGATCAGGGTTCAAGTACTTGATAGACATTTATAAAAAAATTAACAAAAACGAATTGACAATAGTCAGTTAGCAATTGTTAAGAGTGATTTTCAGGCAAGAGTAGAGTAGCTACCGGCTGTCGTTTGGTAATGGAGTAGGGACTAGACTTAGACCAGGGGGTCCCAATCCATCAAGGGCTCTGGGCACGTGCTCAGTGTGCCCAGTGGGGAAGAGAGGCGAAGACAAGGTCTGTTTAACTTGTGCCTAGATGGCGCTGTGTGGATTGTTCAGGGTTATTATTAATAAGCAAGTAAAATTATATATCCAATTAACCGCCGCAATACCAGCATTTGAGTGGCCACTTTTAATTATCGTATACATCTTGATAAAACATAAATATTTCATAGAAAAGGCCACGGAACCGATTATTATTTCGTGTTAAACTATTCCCGCACGCAAAACCCGAAACATGTACAACCCTAGCTTTAAGGTCAACGGCTGTCTCGCTCTAACACGCGTTAATTAGACATCCGTCTCTGTCTACGAGCGGAAATTCGATAGCGCTCGGTAGAGAAACTAGGGGTGAACGTTTATATATCTGATTAGATTTATATCTTGATATTTATAACTTAAATACTTGTAGAGGAAGAAAAATACGGCCAGATTTCGATTGTGGATTAGTGGTTAGCCACTCTGACGTGAGGTCATAAAGGTCTGAAGTTTATTTTTTCTTATTTTAGTTTTTACCTATCAAATTTTTATCATCATCATCATCATTATATAGTATAAAACAAAGTCGCTGTCTGTCCGTCCCTATGTATGCTTAAATCTTTAAAATTTAATTTTAATTATTATTTTCACGTTCCCTCAAATGGGTTAAAGCTGAAAATCAGTGTTTTGTTCCTTGTACAATGTTCCACGCTGAGCTTCTACCTTTTTGTACTGCTACAGATCACACATAATAACACAATTTTATAAATCTTATGTTGTATTATGTATTGTCTATTCTTAAGAACATGTTGTGTGTGATTAGTAACAAACAAATAAACGATATATCTATCTATCTATATATAAAACTACGCAACGGATTTTGAAGCGTTATTTTTAATAAAAAGAGTGATTCAAGAGGAACGTGCCGTGAAAAGCCGGGGTGTGTAGCTAGTTATTTCAATAAAATTAACATTTCTTTAATAAAAGATAATTTGAGAAATTGTTTATATAATAATGACGACCTCGGTGGTCTAGTGGTTTAACACACCGCTTTACCTCCAATAGTCGCGGGTTCTATTCCTCGCACGGTACAATCATTTGTATTCATGAGTATGTTTGTTTGTATCGGTCTGGGTGTTTTCTATGTACAATATGTATGTACTTACGAAGAAAAAAGTCAATGTATTTTTATCAGTTATCTAGTACCCATAACACAAGTTTCAGCTAGTTTAACTTGGGACTTGATGACAATGTGTGAATGGTACTGAGATTATTATTATTATTACTAGCCGTTTCTACGGTTTCACGCGATTGAAATTTATAGCCTATATGTTATTCTGATGTATAAGCTATATTGTTGTAAAGTTTCATCAAAATCCGTTCAGTAGTTTTTGCATGAAAGAGTTACAAACATTCATCCATACTCACAAACTTTCGTGTTTATAATATTACTATAATAAGACGAGACAGCTTCCCGAATGAGCCGTAGATTAAAAGGATAACTGTGACTATTCAATAGTGCTTAAATTAAGTTTATTTGAATAAATGTTTTTCTGTTCTATTCTATTCTTACTTTTAGACTGCGCTTCGCACTGGCCGTTGACTGGCGAGGAGTTGTCACCGCAGAGACATCTCGTCACAGAGTCGTAATGGGTCCTCACACAGGAGCTGCTGCTGATACCAGCGCAGTCGGGCTGCCGAGAACAGATCCTGGCTGGAAGAATAGAATACTCATGTAATTTGACTACCTCGGTGGTTTAGAGGTGTAGCACCGGTTTACTTGATGGTCGCAGGTTAAATTCTCAGTACGACGTGAATGTTTGTATTCATGAGTATGTTTGTTTGTATCGGTCTGGGTGTTTTCTATATATATATTATGTATGATTTACAAAAAGAACTTGAATTTTAGAAAGGCTAATGTGGGAGAAACTGGTCTAGTGGTTTAGTAAACAGCTTTGCTTTCAATAGTCGCAGGTTTAATTTCTGACACGACGCAACATATGAATTCATGAATACAAATATTTGCATCCTTCTCGGAATCGAAACCGCTACCATCGGAAGCAAGAGCTGTGCTAAATCCTTATAATCAATTATTTTATCGAGGTACTTTGTAGCAACTGGTCCGCGTGTGTACCCCAGTCTCACATATGTCAGCCACCAAGCAGCTTGCTTTGTAAGATGGTTCGGTTGCAGATTAAGCAGAGAAATTACAAGGTTTAGGCATGATACCTTAATCCTTAAGAATGGAAGTATATGATATACAAGGCATCATACGATACGACTAAAATTGGTTACCTAATCAACCATACTCTAAATTTTTTAATGGATGTTAATGGTGCACCCGCTTGTGTTAACGGTATACGCTGGCGGGGTACCAGTGGAGGATGATAAGATGAGATTGAACTCAGGTCAGTAAGAGGGCACCAGTGGAAGATGATAACATATAGTCAGGTCAGTAAGGGGCACTAGTGGAGGATGTTAACATGAGCTTGAAGTCAGGTCAGTAAAGGAGCACTAGTGGAGAATGATAATATAATCTTGAAGTCAGGTCAGTAAAGGAGCACTAGTGGACAATGATAACATAATCTTGAAGTCAGGTCAGTAAAGGAGCACTAGTGGAGGATGATAACATGGGCTTGAAGTCAGGTCAGTAAGGGGCACTAGTGGAGGATGATAACATGAGCTTGTATTCAGGTCAGTAAAGGAGCACTAGTGGAGAATGATAACATGAGCTTGAAGTCAGGTCAGTAAAGGAGCACTAGTGGACAATGATAATATAATCTTGAAGTCAGGTCAGTAAAGGAGCACTAGTGGACAATGATAATATAATCTTGAAGTCAGGTCAGTAAAGGAGCACTAGTGGACAATGATAATATAATCTTGAAGTCAGGTCAGTAAAGGAGCACTAGTGGACAATGATAATATAATCTTGAAGTCAGGTCAGTAAAGGAGCACTAGTGGACAATGATAATATAATCTTGAAAAGTCAGGTCAGTAAAGGAGCACTAGTGGAGAATGATAACATAAACTTGAAGTCAGGTCAGTAAAGGAGCACTAGTGGAGGATGATAACATAAACTTGAAGTCAGGTCAGTAAAGGAGCACTAGTGGACAATGATAACATAATCTTGAAGTCAGGTCAGTAAAGGAGCACTAGTGGAGGATGATAACATGAGCTTGAAGTCAGGTCAGTAAAGGAGCACTAGTGGACAATGATAACATAATCTTGAAGTCAGGTCAGTAAAGGAGCACTAGTGGAGAATGATAATATAATCTTGAAGTCAGGTCAGTAAAGGAGCACTAGTGGACAATGATAACATAATCTTGAAGTCAGGTCAGTAAAGGAGCACTAGTGGACAATGATAATATAATCTTGAAGTCAGGTCAGTAAAGGAGCACTAGTGGACAATGATAACATAATCTTGAAGTCAGGTCAGTAAAGGAGCACTAGTGGACAATGATAACATAATCTTGAAGTCAGGTCAGTAAAGGAGCACTAGTGGAGAATGATAATATAATCTTGAAGTCAGGTCAGTAAAGGAGCACTAGTGGAGGATGATAAGATGAGATTGAAGTCAGGTCAGTAAGGGGGCACCGGTCAAACATAACATAAAGTCAAGTCAGTAAGGGTAAGGGGGCACTAGTGGAGGATGATAACTTGAAGTCAGGTCAGTAAGGGGCACATGTTAGTAAGAAACACAAGTGGAGGATGATACGATGAGATTTAAGTCAGGTCAGTAAGGGGGCACCGGTAGAAGATAACATAGTCAGGTCAGTAAGGGGGCACTAGTGGAGGATGTTAGGATGAGCATGAGGTCAGGTCAGTTAGCACATCGTGGTTATTAAATTAAAAAAAAAACAAATCACTTAGAAATTAACAATGATGTTTTCAGGGCTGCCAATCTTTAGACAATTATTTCTTACCATCACTATAGCTGTGTGCATAATTTCCAATGCATATATTTAAAAAACAAGTGAATGATAAAGTGATATTGAATGAAGCATGTGCAAAGGATCTAATAAAAACTGCTGATCCAAATCTTGCACCTTACCCTGTAAGTAGAATAGTAGTTAATAGTAGTTTAGTAGAAATAAACAATCTGTGGTTAGCAAGCTACTAAAAGTAGTAGTATATATCTTATCTGTGGTAAAAATGTGTATATAATGAAAGAATGAGCACACAAATTAAATATTAAAATCAAAATATCTCTATTCATGTATTCAAACATTTGTATTCATGAGTATTATTGTTTGTCTGGTTGTTTGCTATGTATATTATGTATGTATTTACAAAAAAAATATATCTAAGTATTTGTTTTTTTTTCGGTCTACTCTAATGCTGTTGGCCGTAGCTGGCCTTTACAGCTTCACCGGACGTTAGGGGCGAGTGCAGATGGCACTCCAAACCAAAGGAAGGACTTATGGAGCGGCTGAAGGCCAACTCCCGCCTGACGGATACGACTTTAATCTGAGGGTACCACTAGGGCTCGAACCTCGGCTCAGGCCGTCGTAATATCGATCCCCGTTTGAATTGGACGGGGGATCGATCGGACGGGGTTAAGTATTTGTATCAGTTGTCAAGTACAAGTTTTGCCAACAATACTTTATAATACGTATCCTACTTTATTTTTTGGTAATTACACTTTATACTTTTACATAGAGTATGCAAAAATACTTTATTTTCAACCTCTACTGTGATGCGTAAAACAAAATACTCATTATGGGTACTTAACGATTTATAATTACTGAATGAAATGTTAGATGTCAATTGTGTGACATTTGTCACAGCTCTAGTGTTAAACGCACACAAAAATACTTTTTTAAAACAATAAAAGCTAAATTGGAAAATATATGTTTTTTAATACTTTATTTCCTACCCAAACCAGTTTATACGTTTTTTTTTGTCAAAATAAGATGACAACCCTATCTAGTACCCATAACACAAGCTCTGCTTACCGTGGAACTAGATGGCGCTGTGTTAATTGTCCAGAATTATTTATTTATTTATATCACTTGTCTAGTACTCATAACACAAGCTCTGCTTACCGTGGAACTAGATGGCGCTGTGTTAATTGTCCAGAATTATTTATTTATTTATATCAGTTGTCTAGTACCCATAACACAAGCTCTGCTTACCGTGGGGCTAGATGGCGCTGTGTTAATTGTCCAGGGTTATTTCTTTATTTATATCAGTTGTCTAGTACCCATAACACAAGCTCTGCTTATCGTGGGACTAGATGGCGCTGTGTTAATTGTCCAGTGTTATTTATATAATTTAATGTTTTGATGTTTAAATTCAAAACTATTTCTTACATTTAAGTACTTATTATGCCATGCCAGGATAAATATCCGTACCAGGAGTAACCTGACATTGAGGGTAACGCAGCTGGAGTCGAGTCACAACGCGAGTTTGAAACCTTTATGAAGAAGCACTACTGGCCGAAGGGTATGATGTGCTGGCGCTACCGTGGCAGATAGCCATAGTAAGTTTGCTGCATATATATGTTAGTCCTTAATGTGTATACAATATAATATGGGCCAATATCTTATATATAAAATTCTCGTGTCACAGTTTTCGTTCCCATACTCCTCCGAAAGGGATTGACCAATTCTCATGAAATTTTGTGAGCGTATTGAGTAGGTCTGAGAATCGGCCATCATCTATTTTTCATCCCCCTAAATGTTAGGGGTAGTCCACCCTTAAATTTTTTATTTTATTTTAAAGCAAAACAACGTTTGGCGGGACAGCTAGTTGTTGATAAATTCATGCTATAGGTACCTAACGTCAGTTGTATAACAAACGAGCATGCGGCTCACCTGATGGTAAGTGATTACCCGCACACCTCACCTGCAACACCAGGTGAATTGCAAGTACGTTGTCGGCCTTTTAAAAAGAAATAAGCTCTTTTCTTGAAGGTTTCAATATCGTATCGGTTCGGAAATACCATTGCTGGAACGTGATTCCACAATGTGGTTGTGCGAGGCAAAAAGTTTCTAGAAAACCGCACTGTGCAGGACCGCCATTCGTCCAGATGATCAGGATGGTATTTTAGTTTCTGGCGGGTGGTACAGTGGTGAAACTCAGCAGCTGGTATAATCCGAACAACTTCTTAGAACACTCTCCGTGATATATGCGGTAGAAAATGCACAGAGATATATCTCGCCGCAGAGCCAATGAGTTGAGTCTGCCACAAAGACTTTATAGAATAGAAGAGAATGAAATTTTATTTACTCGTCTTGACATAACAATAAAAACATACAAAGTACCAACAACAATTTACACACATTACAAAACGGAGTGTGGACCACAACTCAGTATATTGCTGCAAACATAGTTTCCAGCGCTGATTTTCAATTAAGCCCGCAGTACCTACTGACGCACACAAATTACAGTTTAAAGAAAAAAATGCTTTATTTATACAACCATAAGATTACAAAATTAAAAAGAAGCAGTACATAATAGTTGAGGTTAGTTAGCTAATCAAATGGCAGAAAGTTGCGCAATACAAAATGAGGAGCTATATATACCTATATATAAGGTATTACACGTGCGCTATAGGACAGTCCCTTTTTATAATTACGAGTCCCGGTGTCCCCGAAACGGACTCTGGGACGCAAAATTATCTATATATACCTATATACTTCTTAAAAAGTCAAATTTGTTCCTCCGATAAATATATATATAACTATGAATAAACAAAATGTTTAATTATAT